CGCGTGCCGTATGTTTACACTTGCTCCTCTCACCACCATGCTTATGACGAGAGCTAACGTGTTCGTAATGTTCAGCAATTGTCGCCTCCCCGTATCTTATATTGAACAAGATTCTACGTTGCGAAAAGCGCACACTCCTCAGTGCCATCTTTTTGAGATCATCGTGTGCGGATGTTCACTTGTCGCTGACCCCACCATCATTTTGCACTACCTGTGCGTATGTTCCCGGTGTGTCCTGACCCAGCGCACCATCTTTATTGAGCAGATCCACGCGTGCGTAGGTTTCAGCGAAGTGTGTGCGCGCGCGCGAGCACCCTCTTTATTTGAACAGATCCCTACGTGTGCGTATGTTGCACTTGTCGCTCCCTGCCAATCTTTATTGACAGGAATCTACGCGGTGCGCTATGTTCACGATTGTCACTCCCCACACTTTATGAGACAGATCTAGTGTGCGTATGTCACCGTTGTCAGCTCTGCACCGCCCATTATCCTTTAGGACAGGATCTACGGCGTCGCAGTATGTTCACTTTGTCGGGCTCCCCGCCATCTATTGACAGATCTATACGTGTGCGGTACCTGTTTACTATGTCACGCTCCCACGTCAAATCTTATATTGACAGATCTAACGCGTGGCTAATGTTCAGCCATCTGCCCAACTCTCATCCGCCATCTTTAAATTGACAGATCTAACGCGTGCGTTATGCTGCACCGATTGTCACTCCTCACCGCATCTTATTGAGCAGAATCTAACAAGGCGTATGAACGTATGTTCACGGATTGTCCTCCGAAGACACCATCTTTTAATTGACAAGATCTACGTGTGCGTATGTTCAGCCCATTGTGCATGCTTCCCCTCAACCGCCATCTTTATTGACAGATCTACGTGTGCTGATGCTCGAACTTTGTCAGCTCTTCATAACCACGAGCCATACTTTATTGACAGATCTACGCGCTAGCGTTAATGATTCACTTGTCGCTCCCGCACGATCTTCTTTGACAGATCTAGCCGTGTGGCGTATGTTCCACGTTTGTCACTCCTAACGCGCGCCAATCTATTATTTGACAGATGCCTATCGCTGTGCGTATGCTCACTCGTGTCAGCTCTCACCGCCGGCCCATCTTTATTGACAGATCTACGTGTCGCGTATGTCACGTTTTCACTCTCCCACCGCCATCGTTATTGACAGATCTACGCGTAGGCGTATGTTCACATTGTCGCTCACTCACGCCATCTTTATTGAGCGAGAGTGCGACCCGCTAAATGCACGAATCCTTATAGCGTTAGTCAACGCCTGAAAACCACCATCTTGTTATTGACAGAGCTATAGCGTGCGAAAGTTCCAGCGAGCGCTCACAAGTAGCCGCGAGCGCATCTTTATTGACCACAGATCTACGTGATGACGTATGATATTGTCACTCCTCAACAACCCGGCCATCTTTATTGATCAGATGCGAGCGTGTGCGTAAGCTACACAAGTTGTCAGCGATCTCAGCCCACTCTCAACGCCAGCCATCTTTATTGACAGATCTAAAGCGCACGATGAGTGTGCACTGACCCTCACCAGTACAGAAGGTTCACTGTATCTTGTGGGTGCACTCTAACACCAGCCATCTTTATCTGACAAGATCATGTACCGTGTGCGTTGCCCCACTTTGCAGCGCCTCAACCCGTCCAATCGGTTTAATGTGATCAGAGTCTACGTGTGCCATGTATTGTTTACTGTGTCATCTCAGAAACCGCACTTAATCTTGTAGTTGACAGATCTACGTGTGCGTACTGTTCACTTGTGCCTCCCCGCCATCATTTATTGACAAGATCTACGCGTGCGTATGTTCACCTTGTCACCTCACCGCGCCAATACTTGTATTGGACAGATCTACGCATTGCGTAACTGTTCACTGTCCACTCCCCCACCCATCTTATTGACAGATCTACGCGTGCGTATGCGCACTGTTCGGCTAAGCGGCCACCATTCTTATTGACAGATCATACGTGTGCGATGTTCACTTGTCCGCTCCCACAGATATAAAGCCCATCTTTATTGACAGATCCTACGTGTGCGTAATGGTCACCAGTTGTCACTCCCCGACCGCTATTCTTATTGACCGAGATCTTACGCGGGTATGTTCACCTGTCACTATCCCCGCATCTTTATTGACAGATCTACGTGTGCTAGTTCACCTTGTCACTCCACCACCATCTTTCATTGACAGATCTAACAGCGTCGCGTGATGTGTCACTTGTCACTCCCCACCATCTTTATTGACGAGATCTACCGTGTGCGTATGTTCACGTTGTTCGCTCCCACCTATGGCTGCAATCTTATTGACAGTCATCTAGCAGCGTGCGTATGTTGCACTTGTTGCTGGCCACCGCCCATCTTTCATCGGACAGATCTATACCGTGCGTAATGTTCACTCTATTGTCACTTCTCACCGCCCATCTTTATTGATAGATCTACGCACGGGCGTGCGATAATGTTCACCTTTGTCTACTCTCAGGCAAGCGTAGATCTGTCAATAAAGATGGCAGGGGAGCGACAAGTGAACATACGCACACGTAGATTTGACAATGATGGTGAGAGTGATGAGTGAACATATACACAGACGCATGCACACACGCGTAAATGATGACGTTGATGATGATGATGATGATGATGATGATGAGGATGACGGTGATGATGATGAGGATGATGATGATGACGATGAGGATGATGATTACAACATTGATGATGAGAACGATGATGACGATGATGATGATGATGATGACGATGACGACAGTGCTGATGACAATGATGATGATGATGATGATGACGGTAATGACGACGACAACAATAACGATGATGATGGTTAAGATGATCATGATGATGACGATGATGACAACGATGATGATGATGATGATGATGACAGTGCTGATGACAATGATGATGATGACGGTGTTGACGACGACAACAATAACGATGATGATGGTTATCTTAATCTTGATCATGATGATGACGACGATGACGACGATGACAATGACGATGACACTGCCTCCGTCACACACTCACCGTGCTGCGGGGTATGGTGACGCTGTGTTTCTCAGCGAGCAGGCGGTAGCGTCGCGGCACGAGGCCGGCGTAATCCTCACCGCAGTGCTTGCAGAAGCTGAGGATCGTAGACACGTTGCTGTGCTCATCATGGTCCGAGCGGATGAGGTGCGACACCTGTAATAACATCACGCACACACCTGTAACACGTGTAACACGTGATGAAGCTGTAACACCTGTAACAGGTGATGAAGCTGTGACACCTGTAACAGCTGATGAAGCTGTAACACCTGTAACAGCTGATGAAGCTGTAACACCTGTAACAGCTGATGAAGCTGTAACACCTGTAACAGCTGATGAAGC